ATTTAAATGTAATATTTTCATTCATTCAATTTTGTTTATTTTTTTAAAGATTATTTTACTTATATAATCTTTTAAGTCACCTTTTTAAAAATCATCTTATATGTCCACAATAAAAAAAAATATTATATAACTGAGAATAATCCTTTATTTGCACTATTATATTTGCAATCTCCTATTTAAAATTCAATATTTTTTAGTGCTCTCTTGTCTCTTGAGGAAATTTTAAAAAGATAGATATAGAACTCTATATAATACTCAGCTTAATATACAGTGTCTTTTATCCTGTTTATTTAGATTTTAAAAAAAGGGCAATATTATGAGAAGGAATATCATGTGGCTAACAAAGCTATATATGACGTAAAGAAATTATAAAATAAAAATAATCTATTAAAAAAGTGATTAGGTTGTGACCTGGGTAGACTTATTACAAAAAAACATGAATATAATACGAAAAATAACATTACCACTAAATACTTAAAACAAACCAAAATAAGGGTGTTCTAGTTTTTAGTTAATACTGAAAAGCAAACAAGTATCTAAATTAAATCGACCTGGGGCACGGTCTTAGTTTATGTTTAAATTATATATAATATTTTTTTTTTTTTAAAAATAGAATAAATTAAAGAAATATAAATTTACAAAAAATTCCACATGGAACATGAAATCGGTATTACGAATGGAATCTGAACTGAATCATATTAACCGTTATTATTTACAGAACAGTTAAAAATTTGATCCACGAACTGAACCTTTAAACGGAACTAGAACCATTGAACCTTTTGATATTTGGTAATGAAGAATCAAATATTAGTTAGTTGTTATAGTTTGCCTATATTTTGAAGTAATGTTAACTGCAATTTTTTTTATGGATTATATGTTATTTATTAATTTCTTTCTAATACATGAAAAATATATAATTGTATAGTATTACATGAAGCTATATATATAAAAAAATGAGAATAGATTCAAACCAAAATAAGTTTAAGAAAAACATGATTGGGTTCCCTTAAAAAGAACAAAATTAAAAAGGTTTATTTGTATGTTCTGCCTAAGGAATAAGAATTCCCTATGTTCAAATGTTTGTAATTGGGGGTATGGGGGCAAAGCCCCCCATTAAAAGAAAACTCACGTTTTCAAGTGAATAATATCTGGCAACCCTGGCTCCACTCGACATTTTCAAAATTTTTGTGTGTTAGAAGAACTTTTAGAAGTGGATATTATATCCCATATACCAAACTGATTTAAGTAATAAAATGTTCTATTTTGATAATAATTTTATCTTACTTATTAAGCACTAAACATTGATAAAATTTTCAGAATAAATGATTTCAAATGGCTGTTCTGGCCAAATTAATAGACATTTAATATAACTTTGCAAGAATATATTCCCAGGGCATACTTTTTAAATAATTTTTTACTTTATTTTAAATTTACAAAATTTCGATTTAAATCAATTTTTTGTTTCCATAAAAAAGATATTATTTTGGACAACACTAAATATAATCACATATGGTTTTTATGATTATCATATCATCTTATACAAACAAAATCTTACTTTATAACATGCTACAATTTGAATTATTCTCTTACAAATATAAATGTACATTGATATTTTTTAGCTTCATATTAGTTTATAAAATTTATTTCAAATTAGATTGAATCTTTTTGTAAATAATATAAAATTTTAATAACATACTTTTTCTTATAACTATAATATTCATTGTTTAAATTTATTATAATAATTTCAATCTACATTATTTAATAAATATTGATATTAGATATTTATTATCATTAGAATTAGTGATACTCAATCAATCAATTTATTATAAATAGGCAAATATATATATAATATTGAAAATATAATAAGTATAAGCTTAGAAAGTACTTGTTTTGTTAATCAATAAACTGGATATTACGTGATACGTGAAATATAGCGCATATGCCCTCTAACCGTTGAGTAAACAACAGAGCTACGCTAGGTATTCCTCACTTCCATCTAATTGGAAAAACGAAATTAATTTGGGTACGAAAGTAAAAAATGTGAGGAGCCCTCTACACGTTTGTGGGCAAGCCGCACGTACTTGTACGCACTTAGGCGTCCATAGGCTCCAAAAGAAAGAGCGGGGCAGAGATAAAGAGCCTATGCCCAAGAACTGCTACGTAAGTTAATTACTTTAAGGGTGGGTTGTGGCTGATTTTAAGTTAAAAAATTCTGTTCTGGCATATATTGTTCCAAAAAAACACACATTTAAAATATAGAGTACATACCCGTTGAGTTTTAGCTTGTCCTGATCCAGTAGCAACACAGTGGTTTAGAAATATTAAGAAATTATTTATTTCAGATATCTATCCTTAATACGAAAAAGTTTTTTGATAGAGTTTTTGCAATTATTTAGTTTGATGAATTGCTTCATGTTTAAGTTAAGTTCCATAACATCTTTTATTGTTTTATAGTACCATAGGGATTTATATTTAGTGTATTCTTTTTTTTTATAAGTGTATAGCCATTTAATTGCATCATGAACTAGGTTATGTTCTGAGTTCCTTATGATGTGGGCAAGGAATTGAATGCGTCGTTTTTTCAAAGTAATGTTAATTGGGGTGTGTTTTGATACCCTCCATAGATTATTGTTGGATATTACTCTCGGGTAGAAGATTCCGTTAATGATTCGGAGGCAGTTATTTATGAATGATTGTAATTTCCTGTTCTCCGTTTTGTTCAATTCCCATATATCTACACCATATAGTAATATTGGAACAACTGTAGAATTAAAAATTCTCAGTCTGGTGTGTACCGATATTTCTTTTGTTTTCCATATTTTCATGTATTTATAAAAGGCTCCTCTTGCTTTTTGTATTCTTATTTTCAGCTCTTCTTTATAACCTCCTGTGTTGTCGAACATGACGCCTAGATATTTTATTTTGTCAACTATTTTGATATCATTCCCATCGATTGTGAAATTTAGATTTTGAGTTCCGTTTGGAGAAGAGAGAATACAAGTTTTTTGGAAATTTATTTTTAACCCCATTCTTAGGCTAAGGGTTCCTAATAGATATAGCATATCTTTCGTTTCTTCAGAGCTAGTCGATATGATGACTATGTCATCGGCATAGGATATTATTTTGTTCTCTAAACGTATTGTTGAGTTTGAGCTTATTTCCATTAGATTTGCGCAATCTAGGACCTCTTTTATAATTTTACTGATAATGATATTAAACAGTAATGGTGATAGAGTGCATCCTTGTTTCACACCTTTTTTTATTCTGAAGGTGGGGGATATTTTATTATTTACTTTAAAGCAGGCAGATAGCTTAGAGTAATGGTTTCTCAGAATGTGGATAATATTGGGTTCGATCCCACTTTCCAAGAGTGTCCTCCATAGGGCCTCGTGATTCACAGTATCAAATGCTCTACTAAAATCTATAAACGTGAAGAAAGCAGGGATTTTATATCTGTAACATTTTTGTATTGTTATTTTTAATGCTAAAATTGGCTCGAGAATATTTTTGTTTGGTCTATAAGCGCAGATGTATTTGGGTAGTAAGTCTGGAATTGAAGACATGATCCTGTTTTTTAGAAGGACCATGAAAATCTTAGATACTGTAGATGTAAGGGCTACTGCACGATAGTCTTTAAACTCTCTTGGATCGTTTATTTTGGGAAAATTGCATAAGTAAGACTTATTCCATTCTACAGGCGTTTTTCCACTATCCCAGATTTTGTTATATAGAGATAACAGGAAGGAGGATACAGTTTTGGGTGCTGTTTTTAGATGTTCCGCTGTTATATTATCAAGCCCAGGGGCTTTATTATTGCGTAGTTTTTTAATTACTTTTTCGATTTCCTCCATGGAGAAACCGGATGGGGGTGGAGTTTCATGCACATTTGTGTTTGTCTGGCAGACGGCTTTTCTTGAATCAAAGATTGACATATAGTGATCTAACCATAATGCTATTTGTTCATCCTGGTCCGAAATTACATTTCCATTTGCTAAGACTAAAGAAGGTAGCTTCTTGAAACTGTAGGGTTTGCAGAAATATTTTAGTTTATTATAAGCTTCATATATTCTGTTTTCATTCATATCTTTCTCTATTTCAAACGCTTTTTTTGCCACAAATTTCCTTCTATCACTTCTCAGCAATTTCTGTATCTCTTTCCATAGTTCTCTGTTCAAGTTTTTGCCTCCTCTAAGCTGGCTGATTTTTCCTACAGTTTCATTTGATAACCACTCTCTCCTTAGGTATACATTCATATTGGGTAACATGTTATAGGATTCAGTTATATCTTTCTTGAAAAGATTCCAACATATATCTACGTTCCCATTTGAGGTTATATTTAGGAAATTTTCTCTCTTCTTGACCAGTATTTGATCAAAAAGTTGTATATCCTCTTGTGATTTTACTTTTATTTGTTTACGGTTTAGGAGAGGTTTTAAGAAATTTATTCTTGTCATATTTGGGTCTATCTCTTCGCGATATCCCCATGTATTTTTTATTGTCATTTTTGCTACTAACGCTCTGTGATCTGACAATTTAATAATAGTGGACACTATAACATCATCAAACCACGCATGAATATTTGTTATATTTTTCTAACATTAGTTTAATAAATATCCTAGTAAATACTCCGATTATTGTTATATTTTTCTAACATTAGTTAATAAATATCCTAGTAAATACTCTGGATTAAAGATTAATATTTTGCTTATTTATTTTCTCTCATTTAATTTTTTGTCGCTCTTATCTCTTTTGATCCTCCCAAATTTATTTTATAAAAGATTTAATTTTCTTAAGGTATATAGTTTTTCTAACTGTTTCTCTTATCTCTTTGATCCCCCAAATTTATTTTACAAAAGATTTAACTTTCTTAAGATATATAGTTTTTCTAACTGTTTGTTAGATCTAAAATTAGTTTTAATAAATTTTTGATTATCTTAGAATTACCACAACACCGTTATGCTGGTCTACAAAACTTTTGATTTTTATTCCTATCCTTAGAAATGGCACCCATAAACTCGGAGCACACAGTTTATGGTAAGTTATGGATTGCGTCTCTAAATATTAACGGAATGAAAAATAAACTAACAGTACTGCTTAGAGATTTTGCATATATGAAATTAGATATAATTGGCATCCAAGAAACCCACTGCCCAGGGAATAATACTGCAGATTTTAAGGATTATAAACTATTTTGTTCCGGTACCACCTCTAATAGCTGGTCAGGAATCGCATTCCTAGCAAACAAAAAAATAGAAAAATCAATTATCAAATTTGTACCCATATCAGAAAGATGCGGCCTCCTATATCTAAACACAAAATTCAAACCGACAATAATTGTAAACATATATGCCCCTCCAAGAAGAAATGAAAGGTTAAATTTTATTGACACAGTCACTACCTTGATTGATTCCCTGCCTTTGAGATATAACATTATAATAATAGGAGACCTCAATCTGAAAATTGGCAAAAGCACAGAATATATTAACACCAATACCATCGGTAACGCAACTATACAACAACCCAACAATATAGATAGTAAAAAATTACTTGATTATTGTAAAACCAAAAATTTCAAAATAGAAAATACTTTCTTTCTCCATCGAGAAATAAATACATACACCTTCGTAAGAGCAAATCAAAAATCTCAAATTGATTTCATTATATCAAATATTCATGCGTGGTTTGATGATGTTATAGTGTCCACTATTATTAAATTGTCAGATCACAGAGCGTTAGTAGCAAAAATGACAATAAAAAATACATGGGGATATCGCGAAGAGATAGACCCAAATATGACAAGAATAAATTTCTTAAAACCTCTCCTAAACCGTAAACAAATAAAAGTAAAATCACAAGAGGATATACAACTTTTTGATCAAATACTGGTCAGGAAGAGAGAAAATTTCCTAAATATAACCTCAAATGGGAACGTAGATATATGTTGGAATCTTTTCAAGAAAGATATAACTGAATCCTATAACATGTTACCCAATATGAATGTATACCTAAGGAGAGAGTGGTTATCAAATGAAACTGTAGGAAAAATCAGCCAGCTTAGAGGAGGCAATAACTTGAACAGAGAACTATGGAAAGAGATACAGAAATTTCTGAGAAGTGATGTATAGTAATATAATTAAATGAATGTATGTTAAAAAATTACTTTTACTCTATGTATATATATGCCAGTCCTAGGCAAATTTTTTTAATATGATTTTTACATTTATTTAAATAATTATTATCATTTTGATATAAATCAAAAAAATCAAGATTTAAATCATTTTTTTTAAATCAAGATTTATGCTAACCCTATACATTTCTCACTTTTAATTTTTCTCTCAATTAATAAACATAAGCAGCATATTAACCTGAATCAGTTTAATTTATAATCTTGAAGTTTAATAAGGAGACCAAAATAGTTATGGACAGCTAAAATTTGTGTTTATAAATATTATAATTAAAATTTATATATAATATACCTGATTCAGTTTAATTTATAATCTTGAGGTTTAATAAGGAGACCAAAATAGTTATGGAATGGACAACAAAAATAAGACATTTTTTTGGCAAGAAAAAAAAGAAGGTTGCACGCATCCTTTGCGTATTTGATTTTAAACTTTAATGTTGATTTTCTCATTTTAAACATTGGCGCAATTTTAAAAATTGGCGCAAGTGGATCACTCCAATTCTAGATCGACGATAAGCTGTGTATAAATAATAGTACAAAAGCAGTTTTTATTGAAAATAATTTTTATATATTTAATTAAAACATACATGTTTTATTGTCCAAAAAGCAACATCAGATTTGGTATTGGCACCTCAACAACCTCAACTGGTATGAAACAAAAATCAATTAAGAATTTCTTCAAGAAATCAGTGCCAGTGATTCCTGAGGTGGTGGAACTTAAGCATCTTCGTGATCGTGGTATGTATAATTAATGTATATAGTATGTATATTTATAAATATATAATAGTACATAAACTGTTTATATTGAAAATAATTTTTATATATTTAATTATAACATACATGTTTTAATGTCCAAAAAACAACATCAGTATTGGAAATTGTGCCTTAACCTTAACACAATCTAATTATCACCTTGAAGATAACGATCATCATGGTATATATAAATAAAAATATAAAATATGTATAAAATTTAGGAAATTTTTTAAAATTTTTATTTCTTAAGCTTAGATTAAAGATGATTAGGATAATAATATTTTCTAAGATGAGTTCCACTTTCATTGCTAATTTTTAAAAATATTACTTCTAATATTAATAATATATTTTTTAATATATAATAGTACATAAGCAGTTTATATTGAAAATAATTTTTATTTTTATATATTTAAATATAACATACATGTTTTATTGTCCAAAAAACAACATCAGTATTGGAAACTCGTGCCTTAACCTCAACGCAATCTAATTATCACCTAGAAGATAACGATCATCATGGTATATATAAATAAAAATATAAAATATATATAAAATTTAGGAAAATTTTTATTTCTTAAGCTTAGATTAAAGATGATTAGGATAATAATATTTTCTAAGATGAGTTCCACTTTCATTGCTAATTTTTAAAAATATTACTTCTAATATTAATAATATATTTTTTAATATATAATAGTACATAAGCAGTTTATATTGAAAATAATTTTTATTTTTATATATTTAATTATAACATACATGTATTATTGTCCAAAAACAACATCAGTATTGGAAACTCGTTCCTTAACCTCAACGCAATCTAATTATCACCTAGAAGATAACGATCATCATGGTATATATAAATAAAAATATAGAATATGTATAATATTTAGGAAATTTAAAAAAAAATTTTTTAGATAATTTCCACTTGCATTCAAATATTAATAATTTATTTAGTAAGGAAATAATTTTTAAAATTATGCGCATAGTATAAATTTATATTATTATGATTATTTTTTTTAAATTTTAATAAGAAATCACATATATTCTTGAACTATAAATTAAACAATTTGGGCAGTATTTATATATCATTAACCAGTAAAAAAAATTAATCTGTATTTTTAACTATCGTATAAAATTAATGACAAATATTCTTAATTTACATTTGAAAATGATTATATAGGAATAAAAGCTTTAAACCGCAAGTCGCCAAAATATTCGCCATCTATATCCGATTCGGATGAAACTGAAGATCTTTCTGAAAATAGTATATATTTCTTATAATTTTTGAAAATAAGCATATAAAAATTAGGATATGTTTTTAGTTCATATAAATCATTTTTTTAATAAAATAGCACTTTGATAATTAATTTTGCTTTAAATATCCTAACAAAATTGATTATCTTTTTATATTTTATATACTATAGAATCCGAGAAAGTGAATAAAAGAAGAAAATATATATGTAAATATAACAAGTTATGGGAGCAAAAATATGTTTGGTTGATGAGGCTTACGGATAGCCATGCTAAATGTAGAATATGTTCTGTAGGTCATTATTTTGGAAAATAATTACATTTTTTTAGCAATTTTCATATTTCTCCCACAATTTTTATATTACTCCCACAAAATACCGAATTTCTCCCACAATTTGAAAATTTTGACCTGGCAACCTTGAATAAGAGGCTTGTGTCTAGGCTATTTTATCAAACTTAAGGTTTAGAAAACTTTTGATTAAGACTTTAATCCCATTTTCATAAACAGCGAAATGTATGGGATATTGAAAAATGAGAGTCAAAATAATGACCTACAGAACATATTCTACATTTAGCATGGCTATCCGTAAGCCTCATCAACCAAACATATTTTGCTCCCATAACTTGTTATATTTACATATATATTTTCTTCTTTTATTCACTTTCTCGGATTCTATAGTATATAAAATATAAAATAATCAATTTTGTTAGGATATTTAAAGCAAAATTAATTATCAAAGTGCTATTTTATTAAAAAAATGATTTATATGAACTAAAAACATATCCTAATTTTTATATGCTTATTTTCAAAAATTATAAGAAATATATACTATTTTCAGAAAGATCTTCAGTTTCATCCGAATCGGATATAGATGGCGAATATTTTGGCGACTTGCGGTTTAAAGCTTATATACCTATATAATTATTTTCAAATGTAAATTAAGAATATTTGTCATTAATTTTAATACGATAGTTAAAAATACAGATTAATTTTTTTTACTGGTTAATGATATATAAATACTGCCCAAATTGTTTAATTTATAGTTCAAGAATATATGTGATTTCTTATTAAAATTTAAAAAAAATAATCATAATAATATAAATTTATACTATGCGCATAATTTTAAAAATTATTTCCTTACTAAATAAATTATTAATATTTGAATGCAAGTGGAACTTATCTAAAAAAATAAAAATAAAATTTTTTAAATTTCCTAAATATTATACATATTTTATATTTTTTTTATATATACCATGATGATCGTTATCTTCTAGGTGATAATTAGATTGTGTTGAGGTTAAATCACGAGTTTCCAATACTGATGTTGTTTTTTGGACAATAAAACATGTATGTTATATTATTAATATTAGAAGTAATATTTTTAAAAATTAGCAATGAAAGTGGAACTCATCTTAGAAAATATTACATATTTTATTTATTTTTTTATATATACTCACCAAGATAGGTGGACTTGGTATCAAATCCCCGATCTTGCCCTAACTGCCTTCATATCCAGTTGTCTTATAACAAAAAATATAGTAAATTCCCAATTTATAAAACCTGACCCTTCCTATAATGGTGCCATAATCGAGTGAAGATCACGAATTAACGCTGTACATTCACTTCCAGAAACGAATAAGCAGAAGGACTGGGGTGGGCCTATTATTGCAAGCTGCGTTGAATTACTCCTTTCCAGAATGCAATCTTCTGACCCTCCTTTATTCTCCTCGCTCCTGATTGTTCTGACCATGAGTTGCTTGAAGCCATTCTCTCAGTTAATTTAAATTACAACTTAACTAAAATGAGCTCACTCACTACATCGGTATTCGTTTAAACCGCCTAATAACCCAACCCCATACATGTTCAGGTTACAGTTCTGCCGTTTTGGATAATGGTAGACATAGCCTTCATTGTCTTTTTTTTCAAAGTTAGACATAATTTATGCAATTGGATTATCCTCAGCGCTTTGAGATCAACTCAAATTCCTTCTATTCTTGAACCTTCTGGTCTTTCTAGATGATGGGAAAGTACTGATGGTATTTCTCAAATTTGGAAGCATGGTCAATTCTTTGTTTGAGATTACTCGTGTATTGATTCTTTTGCACCATCCAATCAAACTCTTAACATTCTTGAGAAAAATAGCAAAATATTCTGAAATTTCTCAAGAATTCATATTCATTCCAATTATTTCCTCAACCCTTACAACCTTTTATAATTGTGTTTATCTTTTTTTCAAGGAACTTGGTTCGCACATCTGCAAACATACGGATGAACCTCGCGAAGCCTTCTCAAAGACTGGCCATAGCGATTCACAGGGCTAATTACATTAACTTGATAGGCAGCCATATCCCACAAGATGATGATTAGTTTTAAATTCAATTATTTTGTTGGCGTTTTTTTTTCCTTTTTTTTATAATAAATATATATAATTTAATTGTATATTTATTTACCATTATAAATAAATTTATTTTTTAAATATTATTTCTAAATATTATATTCGTAATTAAATAAAATATTATGAGAAATTATTTATTTATATTTTTATACTTAATGTTAATATTTTATTAATATCAAAATAAACATATGATATGATTAAGATACAAAAAAAATTTAAACATATTATATGATTACATATAGCTTATATAATTATAATATAAAAGACTAAATTTAACATAATCGCACAATTTATAAAAAAAAATTTATTAATAGTATTTATTTTATTTTTTTGTTTTTTTCTTTCTCTCCCCATAATAGAATTTGTAAATATTTTGGTAACTCATTGAAACTCGGGGAAATTTTTAATATTTTTTTTAAATATTTTTTATTTATTTTCTTTTAATATTTTTTTAAAATATTTTTTATTTATTTTCTTTTAATATTTTTTTTTACTTAAATATTTTTTATTTATTTTTTAAATATTTTTTTTATTTAGAAATAAT